CTCAACCATCATCAGACAAGATTCATCCTTATGCTAATGGGAACAAATACAGAGACTCAGATCAGGGCAATGTTCAGTCAGTTAGGGGCCTTGGAACACTCAGCACTAAATAGAATGTTTCCATCAATTCCCGTCCCTCATGGCTCCATGAACTCTGCAGAAGAGAAGGCAGAAAGATTGTAAAAGCCAGCGGGGATGGAGATACCAAAGAGAAAGACCTTCTAGATACAACAGGACTGAGAGACCTGAGCAGCATGACAGGGCCTGGATAGGTCCAAGTCAGACGAGGGTGCCACAGCTGAGAGTGGAAGGGAGCACAAGCTGCAATACCTAATCCAGAGGCTATCTACAAATGACATCCACTTGCAAAGGAAAAACTATTTTTCTCAATTGATCTCACTGGGTACACAAATCACACTTAAGGTTAAGTCCTATGTCCAACAGTAGACAGCCTACAGAAGACAAACTCAAAATATATTGGAGATATTTTTGTGTCAAAGTTGTTTACCTGGAGATTTTTTTAAGTTTTCAGGTCTTTGAGTTATATATTACAGTTTCTGATTTTGTGTTTTTCTGTAATTTCTGTGTGTGCAAATGTGTTATCTTTTGTCTATACATGTTTCTTGTGTTTGGGGATTTTTTTCTGTCTTCTTTTATTTCTTTGTCCAATAATGGCTTGTTTGTTATTAAGTTATTTTGTTATTAAGTTAAATTAATTAAAATGTTATTTATATTCTTGCTTGTTTTCTAATGAGAGGAAAAAAGGGTGTGGATTTGGGAGACAGGGAAGATAGGGGGAATCTGGAGGAGGGAAACCATAATTATAATATATTGGATGAAAAAATCCATTTTTAATAAAGAAAAGGAAAATAGACAAAAATTAAAAGAAAACTTTTAAAACAACTTCAATTTAAATAAACTTTAAAGTATTTTCAAGATTATAATATAATTATATTTTTCCCTTCTCTACACTCCCTCTAAACCCTTCTACAAATACACTCTCTCCTTACTCCCTTTCTAATTCATTGTCTATTTTGCATTAAATGTTATTCATGCAAGCAGACATATATTTCTAAATAGAACCTGCTCAGTCTGTATAACGTCATTTGTACGTTGTTTTCAGAACTGATCATTTGGCTCAGATAAACAATTACTGTCATCTTCTCCCTTAACATCCCTTAACTGTCTATAGTTCTTTGTGTGAGTTGAGTCTCAATTGACTATTCTATTAGGAACATTTAAAGAATTTAGTCTCAACACATATAAGTTTGTTATTAATACTCATGCACTGGATAGTTTCTATTATCTTTCTTTTCCTTTTCAGAGACACACTCCCATCCTCCAAAAAGCAAAAAATATTTCCATCAATTTTACCATAAACAGTGAGGCAGCACCTTCCTCAGGAGTCTATTTCTATTCTTTTTAGATAGAGTGAGTAGCTGTGAACTTAAGAGACAAGCACATCCCAGCTTATCTTAGCTGACCAGAGAGTTTATTGAGGTTGTTCAAGTACCCTTGGGTCCATGCATTTTAAAAAGATCCTAGACAAAAATGTGGGTGATTACTCATAAATGACATGTTTAAAAGATACAAAGAGCTAGCAAAATGTCAAGGAAATTAGAAATTCCAGTTTGCCTTTGCCTCTTTGCCCTAAGACCTGCATATTTTGACAACCTGGCATGATAGAAAGAATAGATGAGTAAGAAACATAAAGGACAGTGTTTTCTATTGTTTTTATTGAGCTATATATTTTTCTCCACTCCCCTTCCTTCCTTTCTTCTCCTCCCCTTCAACACTCTTCCATGATCTTCATGCTCTGAATTTAGCCAGGAGATCTTGACTTTTTCTACTTCCCATATAGATTAGATCCATGTATGTCTCTCTTAGGGCCCTCTTTGTTGTCTAGGTTCTCTGGGATTTTGAATTTTAAGCTATTTTTTCTTTATGTCTAAAAGTCACTTTTGAGTGAATACATATGATATTTGAGAGACAGTGTTTTATGAGGCAAAAGGGTCAAAGATTTTGGAGCAAAAGCAGACCACGTTCAATATGACCTTTGGAGCCTGATGGCTGTTTAAATTCGTACATGTGTAGTTACAAGAGTAATGGTCCCTAACACTGAATTTCCCTAACCTTCTATCCTGCATATAGGCCACGTTACATAGCAAAATTAACTTTTCAAATGTGATTGAAGACCTTAATTTGGAGAGATTTTTCTGAATCAATTTTAGGTTCTAACCTAATTGTGGAGTTCCTCAATAGGAAAGAGGGCATAAGATAAAAATTTAAAGCAGTTATACTCTTGGCTCGGAAAATGTAGGAAGAGGCTCTGGCCCTGGAAAACAGGTAGTTTCTTGAAACAGTTCGAACAAGGAAGAATTTGCCCTTAACCCTCCAAAAGGAACATGGCCCTACTATAAATCTTAGTCCAAAGAGATCTCTTTTGATTCTCTGGTCTTCCGACTTGTAATAGAGATTCATGTTGTTGTTTTAAGTTTACTTATACATTTTAAAGATTTTTAAATTTTATATCCATGTGTATAATTGCCTGCCTGTGTGTAGGTATGTATATCATGTGCATACCTGGTGCCTGCAGAGGTCAGAAGAGGGCACCTGATCACCTGACACTTGAGTTAGGGATGGTTATAGGTCACCATGGAGTGTTAGGAATGAAACTTGGGTCTTTCACAAGAGCAATCAGTCCTTTTAACCAGTGAGGCATCTCTCCAGCCCCTCAGTAAGATTTCGCTTTTAAATTAGAGCACTAATATAAAAGCGGTTTTGTTTGTTGCTGTGGGCTTTCTTTTTGAGACAGGATTTCACTATGTAGCCCGGGCTGGCCTGGAACTTTTTATGTAGACAATGTTAGCCTCAAACTCACATAGATCTTCTTGATTCTGTCTTCTGTCAACTAGTTATTGGGATTAAAGATGAGGATGACTACAACCAACTTATAAAGCTTTTATAATGGGACTTTGTATGTCTCCTGAAATATAAGCAATAACTTCATCTAAACAATGCTGGCCACAGAAAACTCTATGAACACGAAGTAGCTGAGTGCCAGGGTTCACTACTGCTGTCCTTCATACAGAAGCCACATTCAGTCTATCACTATTCAGGAAAACAGCAAAATTCAAATTTCATTTCCTTCAGCTGGTGGTGAATTGATAATGAGAATGTTTTGAATAGCTGTCAGCAGTGGGTGGCAGCAGTGTCACTAAGAAGTTATAGTCTAGTGAAGATTGTTACTATTCTTTTCATTTTAAACTCCATAATGAAAAGGTGGAAGAACAGGACAGTAAGCATTTACTGAACCTGGTGAGGGAAATTCACAGATAAGATATCCAGTAATATAGCCACCCACTGACCTACTTTACATGTGAACAAGCACTGTAACAGGGGCTACAAAAAATTTTCAAGATACTGAATTATTATTCAGGTAATTTATATTTTCTTGGTATGTGACTCACAAGACAGTTTGTCCATAAGTGCTATACCAGTTGGGCTTACAACATCAATCAAACTTCTGTGAATTAATATTGCAGTGTTGCCATTTCCTCGGGGAACTATTCCATCTTTAAGAGAAACTAGAAAGACAGGAATTTAAACAACTCAAAACAGCTCCAGGAATTCTCTGACATTAGCAGATTCACTAGTCCCCTTCCTCCCCAAGAGTATATACACAGTAAGTGACTTCTGGGAGTCACTGTCAGACAAGCCTGACTGCCTGGAAGAAGCAGACCAGCAGGATTCCCTAGAAGAGGCACAGACCAACTGAGACCCTGGAGAGGACATTGTGGTGATTTGGATGAACATGGCTTCCTTCCAAAGGCTGATATATTTGAATACTTAGTCCACATTTGTTGTATCTTTTTGGAGAAGATAATGAAATATGGCCTTGGTAGAAGAGGTGTGCCCTTGTTGGAGAGGTGGCCTTGCTGGAGGAGCTGTGACTTTTTTACAGGAGTTGTGTCACTGGAGTTGGGGTTTTAAATATCCACACCATCCCAGGTCAGCTATCTCTTTTTGTCTCATGGTTGCTGTATTGATATGCAAGCCATTGTTCTCACACCATTTCTGCCTGCCTGTTGCCATGCTGCCTACCATGATGGTCATCACTTCATCATCTGAAATGTTAAGCAAGCTCCTCACAACTTCTTTCTTTTATAAGTTGTCTTGGTCATTGTGTCATTTCACAGCAATAGAAAAGTAACCAAGGTAGACAATCTCCAAACTGATGAGTCGTCTGCAGGTTGTGTAGTGTATCCCAGTTGTCTAGCTTTTGGGAACTGCCACCCATGCTAGAGTGGGCTTTGATGCATCTGTCTTTGAATCAACTCTGATCTTGTAAGTAACCTCCCATCATACTTGGGTTTATTTGGGTTATAAGGAACCCAAATAAAACTCATTGGTTCACCAAGCTGAACTTGGGTGATATCTGTATTTTGGACCATCATGTGCTCCTTCTCTGGAGTTAGTAGATTTGTGTCTTGTATCTCCCCAGGAAAGTTGATCACATGCCAACCATACATAGTTTAATGATATAAAGTCATTTGTTTCTCTGAGTTTTTATAGGAAAATAGCTTCTTTCAGTCACTGTCATGAAAACTTACCTTCCTTGCACATACACAATTTGAACACTTGTTCTAGGTACACTGCATTGTTCTCAGTGAGAACCTTTTTATTAGTTTACTGGAAATAAAATGGACTGCAAAACAAAAAGGGTTAAATGAAGTTGAAGCAGAACACTGAGAAACATGTTTTCTTGAATGAAATATGCTGGTATTAAAAACAAAACAAACAAAAAACAGGTGGTACATGACTTGGGAGGCAGAGGAAGGCAGATCTCTGAGTTTGTCTACAAAGCAAAGTTCAGGACAGTCAAGGCTCCACACAGAAATTTTGTCTTGGAAAACAAAACAAAAGAAAGAAAAAGGAAAGAAAGAAAAACAATAACAAAAAATAAAAATATATACTCAAAATAAGCAGTCTACTACAAAAACCATTAAATGTTTTATTTATTTTCCTTACTTATTTGGGATCTGTATATGTATAGCACAACTGTGAAGGCCATAGGAGAAACTTTCTGTGGAAGCTTTTCTCCTTCTAACGTGTGGGTCCGGGTGTCAAAATCAAGTTACCAATCTTAGTGGCAGGTGCATTTACCTTCAGAGTCATATCACTGTTCATGAACAAATATTTTAATAAAGAGTAAAGACATTTCCTCTGTGGTAATACATAGCTCCAATTACAGTCATTTGGGAATTACAAAGCAGTCTTGTTACAAAACAAAATTTACAAGAAGGGATGGTGGTAAATATGAGAAGTACAGTGTTTGCCTAGCATGCCTGAGAAGATTTAAACTATGTGTCAATAAAGTGAGAAGACAGAGTTAGCAGAAAAGATGCTTGTGACCTGTTATTTCGTCCTTTTTGGGACTCATCAGTACAGTATAGCATATGATCAAGAAAAATATTTTGCTCCTAAATATTAAAAATGTTTAAATCATTGCAAGATTAGAATAAAATGTTTTAAGGAGGTTCAGTAATTTAGCATTCTTGAACATGAAACTCCCAAAAAAGTTTCATCAGAAAGCTAAATTGACATTTTCTAATAATATATTCTTAGTCTATTTGAATTAAAAAAGAACACTGATAAGTAAAATTTAAAATCATTTTGACAATGGTATTAAATCACAGAATGTGGTCTTGTCTATATCTCCCTTCATAATGGTCATTGAATTTTGTAAAAGAATGATGACCAAATTTACAATAGTATTTGGAGACTTCACACCAATTATTATCTCTATTGTAGTTATTGAATCACTTCCATGGACTCAGTCATCCCATATTTTTAGGTTCCATGCTTTCAATACATAAACCAATTTAAAAAATTCTGGTCCTAAAGGTTAAGCTCACTAATACAGATATGATTGTATTTTAAGTTTAATATATGAATACTAACTCATATTCAAATACCTATTGAATTTAAAATCATTCATGCTCATTTTCCTTATCTATGATCCTCTGAGTTTTCATCTTTGTTGTCAACACATATTATTGAAGGATTTTGATGATTTTAGCAGATCAGGGGTGAGGCAGCAACTGTAGATAACAGGTCACAGAGCATCTGTTTATCAGGCATGCTTTGGCATATTCCCTATCCTGGGTTGAAAATTTCTGTGCATTGTAAAGTATATCTGCTGTACTTGCTACAAATCCACTTCTTAGGTGTGTAGTCCTTGGCACTGCTGATCCCACTGTCACTCAGGTAGGCACATTCTCTGCTTCCTTGGGTGAAAACCCTAAAGCAAAAAACAGACAAAAAAATTTCCATATAGGCCGTATTACATTCAAACACCTGAACTAGTTTTGCACCTAGGAACTTCTATATGTCAAAGTTCGACTTGAACACCACACTTTTGTCATTTGCTCACGTTGAGTCTTGTATAATTTGCAAAGGCATTTGACTGGCTTTTGATGTCATGTTCAAATGCACTGCTGCCATGCATGGGTGGCGTCACTTAAGATGATTTTCAGTTCTATCTTGATACATTTTACACATTTATAAAAGAAGGGAAAAAACCCATTTCTTAGTAAATTACTGACAGGACTTTAATGATGGATGTGACTCAGCCTGTGTTTTATTGTTCTATTCAAAGAGCTATTCTTTCATCCAAGAGGTGTCTCAGTACTCTTTGATGTTGAGACTTTAGTGGAGGCTCCGAATATCCCTCGGGTTTCGGTAACTGTGAACAGTTAGCTGTGCAAACAGCTTTCTGACAAGCCATAATCCATGGTTCTGCAGTGGCTTCCTGGGGTTTCAGAGCTCTAACTGCCCATCCTAGCTTCTATCTACTTCTCATGAGAGTGTCTCTTGTCAAGGAAAATTTTTGATGAGGGATACAGCAGACAAAATCTAACCCAAGTGCTAAACCCATCATGCTAAAGACTTTGAGTGAAATCACACTAAGAAAATGCTGTGAAAATTATGGCCAATGAGTGGGAGAACATCCAAAGTATTTAAATTTGTAGGAATGTGGAGGTTGCTTGAATTTGGCTCTGCACGTAAGCACACACCCTACATCTGGGTCACTCCTCCACTTAGACGGTTTGTATTTCTTTCTTTTCAGTACAGTTGGAGTCACATGACACAATTATCAATCTCTTATAGACACAAGAAACACACTTCACAACAAATGATCACAATAGAAAAAAAAGTCATCTAAAAAACATACAAGTTGTTATATTCAGTGTTGTCTGTCCATGTCCAAGGATGCTCTGGTGACTCTCTGTGCAGACCAATCCAGTAGTCAGAAGCTCCCTTGTATCTCTTCAGGAAATTCTGTAATAAAAAATAGAAAAAAATGCATGTGTCTCTCAGCTTCAGGTGACCACTGAGTATCTCTAACCTACAGCCTATTCTAGGGATGGTGGCTAATGGTCATTAATTTTGGAGCCAAAATAATTCCCAGTTCTCAGTGGATATATTTTACACTCATAACCTAAAACATTGCTGGCCACCTTTTCCATGGTGACCGGGAAAGTTCATTATTGAAAATATCCTTGCAGCTTTTAACAGTTGCCATATTCAGTATGCAAAACCTGATAGTTTCAAGGAAAACTTACACGACCACCAGGCATCTCAGGTTTTACGATGAGCACTATATGAGAGTATGTCTTTGGAATGTCTCGGTGCCCAAACTAGAAGCAATTGGCACCACACTACTAATGTGCTCCCTATATGCCCCAACTGCCTGAGGTGGGATTCTTTCTTTAAGATCTCTATATTAATACAATGCATATTCAATAGAACAAACAACAAACCAATTCATGATCCTTTCTTACCAGCTCCTCAAGGCTATCATATAGAGCAAGACGGGCCTCTAGTGCCATGCAGTAGGTTTGACTGAATGTCCAATTTCTTACATCTTCAGAAAAATAAAAACATTTGCTTCCAAATCCAATCCAGTCTTTTGGACATGTAGAATAGTAAGGTCCAGGTCTTGAAATGGCTACGATTTCTTTCCTCACTAAAATGCAGACAGTGTCATGAATAAGACATTTGCTTATAAAGACTGCTGGATTAATCCAACCTATAAATTTTGAAAATGTCTTGACTTGAAAATTTAAGTAGAAAGATATGTTATTTTGGAGAAGAGACTTTCCTTTTGTTTACACAGGAAATGAAAGGCTGTGGATTCATTCTGGGTTACAAAATAAGGTTTGATCAAGGAGTACCCCTGAAAAATATTCAGTGGGAATTGATGGCCCAGAGGATCCAACATTTCAGAGCACCTTTGTTGCAGTTTCCTCTGAGTTCTGCATCCAGAACAGCCTCAAGACTCCTGGCCGAGATGACCCATCTTTATAAAATACTCCAGTCAGGACTTGACCATAATCCTAAATTTTCTTGGGTCCTCATAAAATTATCAGCACCTTTCTACAAATTGGAACTCTTTTTTTTTTAGAGGATTGATTACAAGTTGTTATGAATAATGGTCAGAAAAAGCTAAGTAAAAAAAATTAGATTCAGAGTTTTTATAAAGTAAAAAGGGGAAATACTGTGTGATAATGCTCTTGTACACTATAAAGATTTGTCACTCATAATAGTTTAATAAAACTCTGATTGGCCAGTAACCAGTCAAGAAGTCTAGGTGGGATGACCAGACTAAAGGAATTCTGGGAAGAAGAAATGCAGAAATTCAGTCACCAGCCAGATGCAGAGCGAACAAGATGACAATGCTTAATGAAAAAAGGTAACAAGCCACGTAGCTAAACATAGACAAGAATTGTGAGTTAATAAACCTGAGCTATAGGCAAAACAGTTTATAATTAATTTAAGCCTCTGTGTTTTTCTTCGGGACTGAATGACTGTGGGACTGGGTAGGACAGAAGCTTTCATCTCTACTTTCATTTCCATCCTATTGCAAATAGGGAACAGTAAACATGGATATGTGAGTATCTCTGTGATAGGTTCTTTTTTTTTTCATTTATTCTTGACAAAAGAAAGAAAATTCCTCACTTGTCTGGATTTCACTATAAGGAAATTCTAGCCTATAAAACATGGCATGGACAAAATAGCTTTTTTGATAATTAAATTTTGGTAGTGGGCTTTCTATAATTCTATTACACAATTAAATGTATACAAACATATTCTGGCTTTTGTTAGAGCCAATCAAAATGGCTATCAGTAAGAAATCTGACAACAATGCTGGGCTGTAGTGACACAACTTTAATTCCAGTGTGTGAGAGGCAGAGGCATGCAGATCTCTGTGACTTCAAGGCCAACTTGTTTAGAAGCATGTGCAAAACTAAGGACACTTATTTACTGCTGGCGGGAGTACAAACTGATACAGCCAATATGGAGGTTCCTCAGAAAACTAAAAATTAAACTTGTCATGTGACCAAGATTTACCACTCCTGGACATACAAGAAGCAACCCCCATATCCTATCACAGAAAATTGTAATCCATGTTTATTGCTCCCCTATTCACAATAGTAAGAAAATGTACCTGACCTATATGTCCATCAACTGATGAATGAAAGGAATGAAAATGTGTTACATGGAAAAAACAGAATGTTATTCAACTATAAAGAAAAATGAAATTTTCAGGAAAGTGGACAGACTATTAAAGTATAATACCAAGTGATGTCACTCAAACTGAGGAAGAAAGAGATCCCATGTACTCTGTCACATGCAATCCTAGTCTATGACATACAGTGTAAACCAGTGTGAGGGTGGCTATGGTATAATACTTAGAGAACAGAACAAGGAAGACTGGTGTAGGGTGACAAGGAAGGACGGGATGCAGTCAAGGGCCCATAAGCCATAAAAACGGTTATAAAAATAATAGTTTTCCTAGTTTCAATCCTGACAACTTTTCTTACTTTTGGAGATGAAATGTGAATATATACGGAATGTTTCAGAATTTGAAACATGAGTCACTTACCTGACAAAGCAATCGAAAGTCCAATTACAGTTACAGTGAGAACCATGATCACTATATAGCAGCAGTAAAGCTTAACAGGAGACTCAGGGGAGACATTTCTGAGACATTTTCCTTGCAATTTTTCACCTAAAATTATAAATATGAGAACATCAAGCTCAAGTCCCTTTGGGTAAAAGATACATTTATCCAGAATCAACTGTATATTTGGCTTGTATTATTCCCCTGGAAATGTCCCTCTCAAAAGTCCTGGCCCACAAATGATGTCTTTGGCCCACAGAAGGCTAGACAAATGGAAAACAGAGTTTTCCCCAGGGAATTTACCAGTTGATTGAACTAAGGACAAGTGAAGAACCAAGAAACAGAAATAGTGAAGTTCAACGTGAAAAAGAAACAATGTAACACTACCAATAGATTAGGTTTATTTTTATAAGAAGAGACTTGGCTAAAACTGAGGGAATAATAATAATAATAACAATAACAACAACAATAAAAATCAGTGTGCCAGATGGGGTAGCACAGTACTGTGGTTCTTGGACATAGCAGGTGGAGGCCTAAGAGTAAGGAGTTCAAGTGGAACTTTGAAACACAGCCTGCTAATGCACAGAGAGGACCAAGAAGTGTGTGACCACCCACCTGGTGAGATACCCCACTCCCTAGGCCCTCCACACTGTGGCAAAACCCTAGGCCCCTACCCCACCTAAACTGGTTTCTCTAGCTAGCCAGCAGGTAAGTTTCCTACAGTTAGGTTGCTCCAACACTCCTATCCCATCCATTGGATCCTGAAAGCTACAAGTACCAACCACTCTGCCCCCAAACCCTCCGATCCCACCCTCCCCCTCCCGCAACCTCAGAGGAGTGCTGAAACACGTGCTGCACCTACATAGAGAGTACCAAGAGTGGAACTCTGAAGCACAAGCTGTGAATGCACAGAGTGGACCAAGAGAGCAAACCAAGAGAGCAGACCAATAAAGCAGGCCAAGAGAGAGGGCCAAGAGAAACCTCAGGCTTCCCGAGACACAGACATTGACAGTACAGAACAGACCAAGAACAGTTCCCAAAGAAATAAACAACCACTGCTAGATTGAATCAAGAGGAAAAGACACTGCTGGCACCACCTGAAGGAAGAGATGGCTAGGCACCATTGAAAGAATTCATCCAACAACCTAAAAAGAAGCATGTTAACAGCAGAACCTAGTGATCACACAGCAGAAAGACTTGATTATCCTAACCCAGAAGAAGCAGAAGAAAACAATTTTAATCATAACTTTATGAAGATGATGGAGACCTTTAAAGAGGAAATGAAAAACTTCCCTAAAGAAATGAAGGAAAGAACAAAGAATTGTGAGAAATCAATAAATCTCTCAAAGAAAAAGAATCAAATAGGTGAAACAAACAGTTCAAGACTTGAAGACTGAAATAGAGACAATAAAGAGAACACAAACTGAGGAAATTCTGGGTATGGAAAATCTGGCTAAATGAATGGAAACTACAGAGGTAAGCATAACCAACAGATTACAAGAGATGGAAGAGCGAATCTCAGTTGTTGAAGTTACTATAGAGGAAATAGATTTAATGCTCAAAGAAAATATTAAATACAACAAATTCTTAACATCCAGGAAATATGATTGCTTTTTAAGAAAAAAATGTGCCTTATTATGGAATAAAATGATGCTTACATGGTTCATCAAATATGTTTAATAATTAATTAATTAATTAATAATACCAGGCTTTGGGGAAATAGTTGAAATACAACTTAGCATTTTGTTAAAATGAGTCTACATTTACCTCGTGCTCTGGATCTAAGGGAAGTACCTGTGTTTACATAAAACACCTGCCTGTGTTTGCAGTAACTTTATGAGTTAACCCTGTAATTCGCAACAATTCAAAGATCTCTGACCTTGTGACAAAGTAAAGCAACATTACTCAGCACTGGTGAAAATAATTGAGAAAGAAAACTGGACTTTGTGCTTATACCTGCCCATTCTTACGCTGGTTAAAAGCTTCTCAACCTGCTGACCCCAGAGGCCCCTATAGCAGAACATGCTGGACAGGTTAACCATCTCTTAAAAAATTTTAAATTTAGTTTCCCTTGGCTGTAGGTAAAGGTGCTTGCACCTCAATCCTGGTGACCTCAGTTCAATCCCTGGAATATGCACAAAAGTAAAATGAGAAAACAAAATACACATGGTTGTCATCTGACCTCTAAATAGCACCCCCTGCCCATACTACTGTCATCACCACCAAAATCCAAAACAACAATAAAGCTCTACTTAGGCCCCCGTGCAGCTTAGTTGGAGAATCTGACCACAGACAAGAGCTTTTCTGCTGGGAAATTCTGACTGCTACCCACCTGCTCTCTTTTTTCTCACTCTTTTAAACCCACCAGTTTCCTGTTAGTTTTCTCCTGACCTGTTTTTCTATTCGAACTGAAGATGCATACTTTGAATTCACAGCTCATACCGCTCACCAATCGTACTCTGGAATCTCTTCTACTCTAGCCAGCTGTGTTCTTATAGGACAAGCACTTGTTGAACTCACTGTGGATGAACCTTCGATGCATTTACTACTGCAGGGATCCAGCTCCCTGATGATCTGGAGAAGCAAGAGCGTAAGAGCAGAAGGGGCAAGGATGGCATAGGCTGGGTACAGAGTAGAGGAGTGTCTATATGAGGGCACAGGGAGCTTGGGGTGGGGTTTAGGTCTCTACCTTGATTGTGATGAAGACTTCTTGTTTATATATGTTTGCAAATTTCATGGAAATGTACAACAAATGAATAAATTTTACTGAATATAAATTACATTTTTAAAAAATTCCAGCTGACTTTAACCACCACATTTTGTTCCTATTCACAAAACTCTTAAGAAAACAGGGAGTCTTAGTTTACACTAAGGAAAAATCTCACAGAGGCCTGGATTCTTAAGCTGAGGAGGACAGGAGACAGAAAAGCGTCAGACACATTTAGAAGCAGAGGTCCCAAGGGTGAGCAGTTACAATTCTCCTTGAAACAGGAAATGTGTTTGATTCTCTCCAGTCCAGAAGTCAGAAATGACTGAATTCCCATTTCCTTTCTTCTAAGAGAGCTCCCTGCCTGGATGTTGTGCATGAGGCTGTAACTAACACTAAACATGTCTGCTGAGTAGTTTTAGAAATGGTTGTCTAGATCTTCCTAGCAGAAACACACTGTGTCAGTTCCTCAGGGTTAGCCCATAATGTAAATACTTTTGGGGTATCTTGAGCAGGGAATGTTACAGCAGCCTTTGAGGCCATTGGAGATATCAGTGCTCCCTTCAGTCTGTTCCCTCCTCTCAGATGGACAGAATCTGCTTCTTGTTCTGAGTAGACACGACACACCATTGTATCTTTTCATAAGAGTTAGTCCTGTTGGGTCTGTCAATTACATGGACAAGAGACCACCCCTCACCTCAGCAAGGCTGATTCACCTAAAATCATGTTAAAGAGGAGGCAGGAGAAAATCTTTCTCTACTGAGATAATGTTTTTGTTTTCCTCTCCTGAAACTCCACTCTGCGTGGTCACCTGTGGAGCTGCAACCAAGCAGTCCATGACACTCACTGGCTTTTCTGAGTTCTAAATCAGAAAATCTGAGATATTCTGTTCTGTTTTTCTATCTCTTTAGGATTTTGTTCAAAGCCAGGTTTTTCCCTCTTTCTCTGAACCTATCTGGTTCTCCTATGGAGCTACTTGCTAAATGTGGAGTCCCCAAAGTTGCTGGGTCAACATAGGTAATATTCTTGGGATTTTGGCTCCTTAGAAACTTTTCAAACCTTTTTCCTTTTTGGCTGAACATTAAACAAAGATGTCCATTGAATTTAATGTGTATAGATTTCCATAATGGCTTTCTATCTCAATAAAGTTGATAAGCGACTTTTCTCTTAAATAGCTCCCCAAACCTCTGAAAGTTATGGATTTATTTGCATGCAAATGTGGCTTTTATTTTGCTCTTTTCTTACTTGTTCTTTTTTTGAAATTAAACCCTAAATGTTTGTTATGAAAAATATGACACATATTCAAAAATTGAAACAAATAGTATGGTAAATTCTCTGCCTGGGCTAACTTGCCTCAGAGAAATATGGGGTGTGTATGTGTTTCTGTGTAGAGAAGAAAATGGTTTCAGATATGGGACTACTTGACTAAACTGAAAAACACCTACATTTCTCATTTTCCAGGAAGCTCATATTATTTCACTAAAACAAACAAGCAAGAAAACAAAATTTTGGAGCAAAGGAAGAGGGAGTAAAGGACCAAAAATGAAAGAATAAAACAGATAATTTCCAAATACAGAAGACAGTTTGAGAAAAATTCCACAAGACTTCTTGTTTCCATAACTTGCATAAACCAGAAATGCCAGAGAACTTTCTAACTGCACCTCCCCTCCCCACATTTCCTTTGAATCAACTGGGTCTGCAAACCCCAGGCCCCAGCCCCACAGGGAACTTCCTCAGCTGTGCACATTGAGAGCTGTGCTGTTAGAGTTTCCTTTGTTCTGGGACATAAGGAGCATGGTCTACAGCTATTTCCAGTAACTCACCAGAGTGCAAATTACCAGATAGAAAGTGAGCTAGTAAACTACACACACACACACACACACACACACACACACACACACACACGCACGCACGCACACAAACACAAACAAACAAACAAACTAAAAATTAAAATCATTTAAAAGGAAATGCAACTCAACCAAACAAACAAAAACCATATCTCAGGATTTGGTAATTAATTTTTTGTTCATTTCTCTTGCTCAGAAATACTTGAGTATTTTATACTCTGATATAGTAACTAATATACCAAAGGCCTCTAAGCATTTCCACTTCTACAGACACTCATCATGATAGATAACAGATAAGAGGTTTAGTACCTCTCAGGGTCCTTGACAAATCTCCTCTCTATCTTCTAGTGTGAATCAAGTTGTATTAAAATACATACCTATTTTTACCTCTTGCAGGCTGTCTGGCGTAGTGAGGTCTCTCTTTAGCATGCACATGGATTCTTCTTCAACCTTTGCAGCACTCGTCTATGAAACCAGAGGAATAGACTCAACTGAATTCATCAGGAAATTTCAAACTTGAAACTCTGGGGAGGGAGAAGAAACCTTGTAATGCATGTGTTGTTTCTTATATACATTTCAGAAGCTCAGCCCAACCTGTCTGGGTGATTCATTAACCTCTCCTTATCAGTTTTGAATATGTTACCTTTGAGCACATAGTTTATTACAAATGCAATTGTGACATAAACTTAAGAACTTAAAACATGATAAATGAAATTGATAAATACTTTAGAATTTGAAAATGTCCTGTACTTATCACCATTTTTTAAAGAAAAATACTGCTTTGATAAAACTTGTTATGAACTGGAGAAAGGATTTATTTATTTTTTGCTTCTATATATTTATTAAAACAGTCTCACAATGTAGCTCTGGCTAGGCTCAAACTCACTATATTGACAAAGTTGGCTTCATTCTCATAGAGATCAACTTGCCTTTGTCTCCTAAATGCTATCCGTAAAGATGTAAACTGCCACACTCAGGCTAAATATTTTAATTTTAGAAGATGCTTACTCAAAATATTTCTAGATTTGGTTATTCTGATAATTTTCAGTAATTCTGATGTTTGATGAAAGAATGAGGCATCTGCTGAAATGCCACTGGTCCCAGGATAAAGCTCTGAATACACAAAAGGAAATCAAGGGAATTCAAATTGCAAAAGAAGTCAAACTCTCCCTATTTTCAGATGATATGATAGTGTACAAAAGTGACCCCAAAAACTCTACCAGAGAACTCCTACAGCTGATAAATACTTCTTCAATGTGACAGGATACAAGATCAACTCAAAAAAAAAATCAGTAGCCCTCCTATACATAAATGATAAAGAAACTGAGAGGGAAATCAGAGAAGCATCAACTTTCACAATAGCAACACATAGCACAAAATATCTTGGGGTAACACTAATGAAAGAAGTGAAAGACCTATTTGACAAGAAATTTAAGTCTTTGATGAAAGAAATTGAAGAAGATACCAGAAAATGAAAAGATCTCCCATGCTCTTGGCTAGGAGGAATCAACATAGTAAAAATGGCAATTCTACCAAAAGTCATCTACAGATTCAATGCAATTCCAAACAAAATCTCAACACAATTCTTCACAGACCTTGAAACAATAATAATCAACTTCCTTTGGAGAAACAAAAACCCAAGTAGCCCAAACAACCCTGTACAATAAAGGAACTTCTGGAGGCATTACCATGCCTGACATCAAGCTCTATTACAGAGCTTCAGTAATGAAAACAGCTTGGTATTGGCAGAAAAACAGAGATGTTGGCCAATGAATTGAATTGAAGACCTGGATATTAATCCACATGCCTATGAACACCTGATTTTCAACAAAGGAGGTAAAATTACACAATGGAAGAAAGAAAGCATCTCCAACAAATGGTTCTGGCATAACTGGATGTCAACCTGTAGAATATAGGTCCATATCTATCACCAGGAACAAAACTCAAGTCCAAATGGATTAAAGACCTCAATATAAATCTGACCACACTGAACCTGATAGAAGAGAAAGTGGGAAATAGACTGCAACACATGGGCACAGGAGATCACTTCCTACATATAATCTCAGTAGCACAGATACTGAGAGCAACAATAAATTAATGGAACCTCTGGAAACTGAGAAGCTTCTCTAAAGCAAAGGACACAGTCAATAAGACAAAAAAGCAGCCCACTTAATGGAAAAAGATCTTCACCAACCCCACATCAGACAAAGGACTGATCTCTAAAATATTTGAAGAACTCACGAAATTAGACATTAAAAATTTAAATAACCCAATTAAAAAATGAGATTTTGAACTAAACAGAGAATTCTCAACAGAGGAATCTCAAATTGTCAAAAGATACTTAAGGAAAAGTTCAGCATCCTTAACTATCAGGGAAATGCAAATCAAAACAATTCTGAGATAACATATTACACCTGTCAGAATTTGTAAGATCAAAAACATGAATGATAGTTTATGCTGGAGAGGATATGGAGTAAGGAGAACACTTATTCATTGCTGATGGGAATGCAAACTTGTATAGCCAGCTTGGAAATCAGTATGGTGGTTTCTCAGAATATTGAGTATCAGCCTACTTCAGGGTCTAACAATACCACTCTTGCCGATAAATCCAAAAGATGATCAATCGTACTACAAAAGCCTTTGTTCAAATATGCTCATAGAAACATTATTTGTAATAGTCTGAACCTGGAAACAACCTAGGTGCTCCTCAGCTGAAGACTGGATAATGAAAATGTGATAAATTTACACATTAGATGCTACTCAGTGGTTAAAAAAAAACAACAACAACAAAAAAAAACCCAATGACATCTTGAATTTTGCATGAAAATGGATAGAATTAGAAAACACTATCCTGAGTGAGGTAACCCAGGCCTCAAAAGATGAATATGGTATGGACTCACTCATAAGTGGATACAAGCTATAAACAAAGGACATTGAGCCTATAGTTCATGATCCTAGAGAAGCTAAGTAATAAGGTGAACCCAAAGAAAAACATATATAAACCCACCTGGAAATTGGAAACAGAGAAGATTGCCTGACAAAATTGGGAGCATGGGGACAGGGGGAGAAGGGAGGTTAGAAGAAGAACAGGAGGGTTAGGAGAACTTGAGGGACTGAGACAGTTGAGATGGAGGAAGGACGGAGATGAGATAAGAGCAAGGAAAGAGATATCTTAATTGAGGGAGCCATTATAAGGTTAGCTGAAACCTAGGTCTAGAGAAATCCCCAGGAATCCACAATGATGACCTCACCTAAGACCCTAAGCAATAGAGGAGAGGGGGCCTGATCTTGACTTACCCTATAGTCAGACTGATGATTATCTTAAGTATCACCATAGAACCTTCATCCAACAACAGATGAAAACAGAGGCAGAGACCCACTTCTTAAATAGCACTGGACTAAGCTCCCAAGGTCCAGTTGAAGAGTGGAAAGAATGAGAATATGAGGAAAGAGGTCAATACCAAGATGGGTTCAGTCACTGAAACAGTTTACCTAAACTAATGGGAGCTAACCAACTCTAACTGGACTGGGAAGGAACAAGCATAGGACCAAACTAGTCCCTCTGAATGTGGTTGACAATTGCATGACTAGGGCAGACTGAGGGACCACTGGCAGTGGCACCAGGATTTATCTCTACTGCATGTACTGGCTTTTTGGGATACTTCGATCTTTGGATGTAGTAGGGAGGGCCTTGGACCTTCCCCAAAGCAATGTGTCTTACCCTCTCTTAGGATTAGATGGGGGTGTGGTGGGAGTGTGTATGTGGAGGGAATGGGAGGAGGGGAGGGAGTGGGAATATGGATTGATATTTTTTTTAAAAAAAGTCTAATAAATTAAAAAAAGAAAAGCATTCATCATAAAAAGAATACAATAAAGAACTAACTACAACAGAAAATAGAGGAATGAGTACATTTGCATTCAGTGCATGCTGGGAAGTGTAATATATGCACTGTACTAGAGAACTGTATTGCGCTATATTTCCCTAGTGGGATGGGCAATGATAATAGAGAACAAAGTTCTTCTGCATCCAACAACGTAATGACTTTGCATGTGCCCTTTGCCTTATCTTTTTTTTTTAAATAGAAAGCAAGAAAATTTCTAGAGACCAGTAAATACTTTTTATTCTGTCTAAAAAAGAACAATCTATAGTTGATGAAATAATAAATACTTGCAACTATGTTGTAAGACTTTGGCACACATAATAAAACAATGCTATAACAATTTTATTTATTTACATGTGAACAATGGTCATCTACAAAATGAAAAAACTAGTATTAGTTATAACAGTCAAACCAGAAACCTAGATGTTCATTAATAGCTGAATAAAAGCATACTATGTTCTATTTATGTGGTTAGCATACCACACATCACTTTAAAAGAACTCATTCATGCAATGTGCCATCATGAATAACCTCAAAATCATAATAAGAAGTGAAATACATGGAAGACAGTTTCATTTTATCAAGTTTAATACTGTGCATTAAACACACCATAAGTATACAGTGCATAAAAAGAGTAAAGAGAAAAGAACCTCAGAAAACAGTGGGTTTCTTAGTAAAGCTTGTCACTTCAAGAATACTGGAGTACTTATTTAGGAAAAATGGGACTCAAGTCAGCCCCCAGCACGAAATGGATTGTGTTCTTCCAACCGAAAATATTAGTGTTTCATGAGGCTGTGGCTTTACCAAACTCACTTGATAGGAAAAAGTCAAAACCTGCACCAACTTCACCTTTTCTGACTCTCAGGTGAATTCAAAATCATTTCTCACACAGCCTATGTAATGTCTGCTTCCACTGAAAACTTTGAGTCAGATAAGGACCCAGGTAAAAACTCAGCTCTGTATATAGACACTGTCATCATTTTTAATGTTTTGTTTTGAACTGTGACCTACACTGTGGCTGATTTTCTCTTCTTATCTCAGACTAAAGTTTGGTACATGCTATAAGGACAGAAATTACGTAGGCTGAGGCATTCCTACAGCAAAGGCTGATAAGACCATGACAGAAAGGCAGTGAGAAAAGAGGCCATAAATTGAAGGTCAAGATGACAAAGTTCTGCAGTCAGATGTTCTTGTTCTTGATAACAATAATTATTTGTAATTGTCAATGTGCTGTGAGTTCAGTATGGTTAACTTGATAGTTACAAACACTTGCAAGAGCCAGTTGGAAGGTATCCACAGCCTATGAAGTAGTCACCAGAAACTTGACAATGTTTTCACAGTAAATATCCCAAAAAAGCTTCTTAAGATCATAGTAGAAGAGAGTTAAAATTAATTTATGAAATAGAAGGCTGACCACTCTGCTCTAATAGAAGTGTTGTCTAAAAATAAATAGATTGATAGATAGATAGATAGATAACAACAAAGCACTAGGAACTCAGAACATAAGAACAGTAGCTTTATTATGGCCTAATTGACCAGGTAATAGGAAATGGATTTGCATTACATGGATTTTAAGGTCAATTTTGCTATATGTATATATATTTCTGATCTTGATTGATGTATTGTGATTGTGTAGTTCA